AAATTGCAAATATAACTTTGTTATGTTTCTAATTATTGACATAACCGATTAACCAAACCGAAAAAGTTCAAACCAAAAAGAGAAAAACCAAATCAAACCAAATTTATTTTGGTTCGGATTGGGTTACACTTCTTCAAAACCAAAAACCGAAAAATCCAAATCGAATAGTATAAAACCAAACCGAAAAACCGAATGCACACCCCTAGTGCGAAGTACAATTGCTTACACGTGGAATTCCATGTCAAATTTAATGACATGTAAGAAATTACATGTTAAAAATAAAAAAATAAAAATCAATTAAGCCACTTTTGTAATTTCTGAAAATTTTAGATTAGCATTTTAAAAAAAATAAAATTCCAATAAGCATGTTCTTCATATTTATTCCAAATTGAACACTAAATTCATGTCAAATAGATGAGATATTTCCCCATTTGACTTGAAAATTCAAATACAAGTTCTCCACCATAAATCCAACTAATCCCAATCACAATTTTGAATCAATTTCACAAATTCATGAGACTCATTTGTTATTTTTCAAGTTTTCTCTACCTTATCAATGGAGTTTTAATTTTGCAATATCCACCATTATCCTTCGTATTAATCCGTACTTAGACCTCTTTTTTGAAGCCTAAAGAAAACAAATAATAATCTCAATACTTTTAGACTAAAAAGCTAAAATCTAAAAGACTTTTAGATTAAGTGGTTAGGGTGGGCGGGTGATTTGTAGTGAAAAAGAAGTGTGGATTGAGAAGAAAGTGGATGAAGGAGAGAATGAAGAGGAGGAGAGTGGGTGTGGTGGATAAAATTCCAAGAAGAAGAAGAGAGAAGGGGGGTTGGGGATAGAGGAGAGAGGGGTGGGGTGGGGTGGGAGAGGGATGGTTGAGGAAGATGGATTTTTTTTTATTTTAAAAATGATAATAATAATTATTATTTAAATATTTTTAATGTAAAATAACTTATTTGCTCGCTAACAAACGCATGTAATTACGTAAATTTCCATCTCAGCATTATCAATGCCACATAAGCTCGGTCAATGATCAAATGGGTTTAAAATAGTGTGTTCTGATGAGTTTAGGGGTTCAGTTGGCAAATTGATAAGTAGGAGGGTCCAACTTACAAACGAAGCCAAGTACAGGGGTCTCCTAGATCATTCCGCCTTCTTTTTTAAATGAATTAAAAAAGGGGTGAAGGAAAAAAAAATAACTCTCAAGTTTCTCTTATATATTCCCTCCGTCCCATTTTATATGTCATCTCTTTCTATAAATAGTTGGACCACAATACTTGTCATTTTATAAAATTTATGTATAAATTACCAAGTTTTACCTATTATACCCTTGATAGAATAGTTAATTAATCTTGTCATTTATTAATAAAGTTAACTTAATAAAACATTAAATAAGGGTAGAAGAGTAAAGTTACATAATTTCTTAATGCAAGTGCAAAGTAAAAATGTGACATATAAAATGGAACGGAGGAAATACTATGTAACCATTTATAGCCCTACTATCTACATACATGTCATTCATTTATTGACGAAAAAAGAATTAGTTTGCATTGATTAGGGAGCATAAAAAGAAGTAAAAATTAGGCAAATGACATAGTATAGGAAAGA